ATTTCTGTCTGTCCCCCCTTCCTCTCCACTCCCTTCCTCTCTATCTCCCTCTCTGTTCTCCCTTTCCTGTCCTCCTTCCCACCCCTGTCTGTACCCCCCTTCCTGTTTGTCCCTCCTTCCCCCCTCCCTTTAGTATACTTGTAAAGTAATTTTCATGTCATTTAAAATAGAATAAAATTCTACTATGTATTGATATCTGAATGCTTTAAGGATGGAAATAGAGTTAAGTTCATTAGGGAAGTTAGAGGAAGTGTTTAAACATGTCACAGATGGTTAAATGTCATGTAGTCCTCAGGAATCCTGAGGACTTGACAGAATTTTTCTCCTAAAACTCAAATTTGCCAAAATTATGGTGTAGTCCTGCAGGAATCCTCAGGAATCCTCAGGAATCCTGAGAGTCCTGCAGGAATCAGTGGGGGACTGATAAGTACTGTATTCTTTGCTGACTTCGTTTATAGAATTGGGCTTGGCTGTCAATTATATGCAACAAAGCTTTACACCCCCACCTGTTGAGCACACGTCCCGGCCAGAAGGTTTGCGTTCGGTATCTCGTTCTTGGCAGGTCAGCCCACCAGATCCCAAGGAGGTTCATCGTAAGTTTCAAGTTGTTTTCTCTTTTCCCATGATTCTCAACTTGAAAACTTAGTTGACATGGCCCTCTATCAGAAGAAGATTGACTTTAGGTCCTTGAGCCCCCCACCGAACTTCGACATGCAGACGATGCAGCAGGAGATCAGAAGACTTGCTCATGGCCAAGCCGACCTCCTGCAGAAACTCCGAGACCAACAAGCGCAAGTCAGCGCCATGGAGTCGTCTACCCCTACTATGCGAGAGTATTCGGCATTTGTGGTCCGAAAACAAGATATTGACGCAAGTGCCCTTCTCCCCCTGGCGGTTGACTCACCCGTGACCCTGTCACAACGTCTTTTGGTGCTCGAAGAGATTACCTGGTTTATTCAAGATCAAGATTTGGCTAGCCATCCTCTCTCGGAGAAAATTGCAAGTCTAGAGACCTCTGTTTGGTTTCAGGAAGAAAAAATCACCGGAGCGACTCACCAGATGGACCGTATTGAAGAGTCTGCCCACATGCGTTGGAAGGAAACACAAGAAGATTTGCAGTCCATCCAAAGTGATCACCAGAGACTGGAAGCTGTGGTGAGGGAAGCCGTCAAGACACTGGAGAACAAGTGGGAGACTACGCCAGCTGCATTACAAGAGAGTCTCACCCGGGGCTTTGAGAAACTTGCAAGCCGCATCGAAACTGCCGAGCTAACGCTCCACGACCTCACCAAATTAGTCACTACTATTTCGGAGCTCAACCTGCGGCTCAGTGCTCGCCAATCAAGTCTGGAATCGCTCATTATCCAGTTCCTCAGCAACAAGCAGAAGAAGCACCCTGGCATCAATACCGATTGGTCAGTCTCACCCGACCGCGGTCAGAAAAGCCAGCAGGTACAAGTCTCCCCGACCCTGGGTGTCGTTCTGCCAAACCCAGTTTCAACCGATCACGCACAAGTCTCTCCAACCCCGGCCGTCTTTCTGCCTCCAGCATCTGAGAGCCCAGCGGTCCTTCTGTTGGCGCCAAACCCAATTCCTCCAACCCGGGCAAGTTCGCCTGGTCCTTACATTGGGGGTAATAGGAAGTCACCTCGGCTACAGAAACTCGAACCCACACTTCAAACCCCCGCACAGAGTAAGTCTTCTACTTGGTGAGGATTCAAAAATCTGACTGCCAGCAAGTTACAAACAATGATGTCCAAACTGTCCAAACTCTGTCTACTTAATAGTTAGTAGCATACATGTATATTTTTTGGACAATCTTCAATCTTTTTTTGGGCATATTTAATATGAAGTCCTGTGGTGGACATAATAATGAAAGCAGTAAGGCCTCAGCTTCTTTCACGACCCAGTAAACTGTGACCGGCAGGGAAAAGCAGGGGGATCTTGGAGCAACTTTGTCCGGTGGAGACCAGCATAGTAACAGCTTGGCGTTTATTTCAGGCAGCCGAGTGCGGTTGTTTGAGTGAGACCCGTTCCAACATGGATATGTTTACAAGAAACATTGGTCAGTATAAACTTGGTAGGGATTTTGAACTGGGGGTGTGCATAATATATCTCACTGCCTTGTGAACGTCACTGTGCTCGGCTTCTTGGGAAGTCATGGACCCAGTAAACTGCATGACCGAATACTGGACCATGACCAGCAAAGAAAAGCCGAGGTAATGTTTGAGCAACTTGGCAAATAAAACCTGAGTGAAAACGAAACTTGGCTGTATAGTGTCAACTGGATGGGACCAGGTTGGGCTGATCCACGCTGCATGGGATTCAAAGCTCTTCAGCAGACCCATGACACATGAGCCCCTTCCATGAAGAGACAGGTTGACCCAGGATCCAAGGCATATTTAATTAATGGGGTACCAGCTGACTGACCATGTCACTGTGCTTGGCTTCTTGGTAGGTGATGGACCCGACCCAGTAAACTGCATGATGACCGGCAATGAAAAGCCGAGGTAAACTTGGCAAATAAAAATGAGACGGCTGTGGGCTGATCCACAATGCATGGGATTTAGAGCTCTTCAGCTGACCCATGACACATGTTGAGCCCAATCCATGAAGAGATCGGTTGACCCAGGATCCGAGGCATTTTTAGCTATGTCAATTCATGGGGTACACTTCTCAGCCGATGCACAGTACCAGTCCTAAGAGAGTCTTGATGGCTGGTCCACCTTTGATGGGGTCAACTGATCCATGGGCTCATCAGCAGGCACCATCAACTATGGTCTGTTTGTATGGTCGGGGGGCTCAGTATTAGTGGGGTAAGGTAACTAATACTTGTGAATTCCTTGCCTCATAATCCACAAGACAGGACACCATGGAGGACTTTACTCTCCCCCACAGATTCCATGTGGACTCCAGATGGACTCCATGGATCCACCTGGAGTCCAGGTGGATTTTAGACAATTTTTTTTTGGTGGTAACCCAGCCAATTTTTTGTCTAGAATCCATCTGGATTCCAGCTGGAGTCCAGTTGGAGTCCAGTTGGACCATGTGGACAACATGGACTCCAACATGGACTCCACCTCAGAACACAGGGTGATATGAATTCACCCAGTGACTCCATCTGGAATCCATATGGATGCATAGCCTTCAATTGTATTACATTATTTATTATATATAAAAAATAAAGTGCATCAATGAGAATTGAACACTCAAGCTCATGGAACGTAGTGGCCAAGATGACCATGCAATTAACCATTGAACCACAGGGGCTTAGATATATAGTGCAAACTAGCACTATATATTGCCCCTGACGCTCGGCACGTTCCGCACACTGAACACATGTGCTGTTTGCGTTGCCACATCACCCTCCTTTCTTCCCCCCACCACCATTCCGCACACCATACCCACGACAACACTGCCCATGGCGCCCAAACCGTCGTCCAAAGCATCCGCCAAAGCTGCTGCCGACTCACGCAAACGCCAAGTGTCGAATGCAGGCCAGAAACCCATCAAACAAAGTCGACGTGGCACCAAAACCAACAACAACAACAACAACAACAACGTAAATGCGCAAGACACTGACACCGCTGTCGAAAATTCCACAATGAAATCAAGAGGCAGAGGAGGAAAGAAAGCAACACGAGGATGGGGCAAGAAAGGCCCTGCAGCTGCAAGGTGCGTCGTACCCACACGATTGTGTGCTCTCTCCTCCCCATCTCGAACCCACTGACTCACGTCCACAGGAAAACTGCGCAGGATTGCAATTGGGAGGACGCGGGTCTCAAAACACCCCCCAGGTCTGAGCAAACGCCGTATGTACCCCCACCTCCCTTTTTTTCTTCTTTTTCTTTTGTTTTTTCTTTTCTTATATCTTTTCTTATATCTTTTCTTTTGATTAATCTTTTCTTTTGACTTTACAGTGCTGAGGGCGTGCTCACGGACAGCGGAATCAGTGTTGCACCCCCACACCGTTCCAGGTGCCTCACGAACACCACCCAGCCCACACCCACTTGCCAAGCGGGTGAACCGACAAACGAGGATGACGATGAAAACCAAGACGAAGACAACAAAGACAACGACGAGGGCAAAGAGGGTGGTGAACACGAGGGCAAAGAGGATGACGAGGGCGAAGACAACGACGGAGGCGAAGACGACACTAACGACCAGTCAACTGCCAACGACAACGACACCGCCAACAATAACCAAACCGCCAACGACAACCCAATGACCAACGACCAGCCCATCGGGGATGCCAACGACAGGCAGGATGCCACCGACATGCAAACCGTCCATATGGATTCCATGGAACAAGTCCATGTGGATTCCATGGATTCCATGACCATTGTACCATTAGAATACATATAAACAGTACTAGAAACCATTGAATAGTAACTGAGTAGTATTTATAGTGTCCTTACTATATATAGTAAGGAAATAAATTTTACATTTTTGAAGGATTGAACCCTAGGCCACTTGGACACAGACAAGCACTCTAGCAAACTGAGCCATACTAGCTTTGTTAGATATGAAAACGAAGGGAAATATATCCCCACGGACACGGCCCACAGTCCGTAGCATCCCAAACGTGGTAATGTTGCCATGTCACTTCTTTCTGACTACAACCACCATCAACCACCCCACCACCATCCACCACACCAAATCCATGCCACCTCGTACACGTGCCGATGACAAGGCTTCACGTAGTGGCCACGTACACACCCACACACCTGTTCGTAAGCAAGGGCCGTCCAACGCTGGCAACCAGGCAACCAAGTGCCAGAAGAAGCACCAGGAAGACCTGGAGGAGCCTGCACAACCCGAATCGACGAACGAGGAGATGAAAGGAACGAAGATGGGGAAGAAAGGAAAAGGGGGGAAGGAGGCGAAGGCGAAGAGGGTGAAAAAGCCAAGGTACGCACCCCATTGACATTGATTCCCTGCCATCGATGACCATCAATAACCCCGTTTGCAGGAAAACGAGCGCCCAGAAGGCTGTGGAGGATGCTAGCCAGGCCCCTCCCACCAAACTCACCCCATGAGCACCTCCCCTCCCCCTTTTTTTTATAAAAAAAACTTCTATTGACATCTACAGGGCCAAGCAAAAGCTTGTCGAGAGTGGCATTACTGTTGACCCCCCCCCGAACGCATATGCGATACCACCGCATCGCGCCAGGGAGCGTTGTCCTGACCATGATCCCGCCATGAAGACTCACAACGAACGCATGGGCGACGAGGACGACACCTCCGACACCAGTGATAACGACCCCACTGGTGCCAATGAGAATGACAGCCCCACCTCTGAGAGCAAGGACAACAACGACGCCAATAGCGCCAATGATGACAACAGCAGCAATAGCGAAAACGACGACAACAGCGGCAACAATGCCAACAGCGAGGACGACGATAACACCCAGGACAACAACAACAGTGGGGACAACAACAACAGCGGCACAGGCAGCACCAGTGGGGATGACAACAACAGCGGCAATGGGGATGAGGACGACAACGAAGACGACGCCAACGCCAATACCAGCAGCAATGCCAATGACACCAGCAGCAACACCAACGACGCCAGCGGCAACACCAACAACACCAGCAGCAACACCAGCAACGACAACCCCAGTGCCCACGCCAACACCTTCGACAACGCCCACACCAATACCAGCAATGAAGACAACACCCACGCCAACATCTGCAATGAAGACAATGACAATGCCCCCAGCAATGACAACAACAATGCCCCCAGCAACGACAACAACAATGCCCCCAGCAACGACAATGACAACACCCAGACCAGAGGCACCAACAATGCCGTCACCACCAACGACGTGCATGACTCAGGTAAATAAATTCGTTTTCCCTTTGTCTTTTCTTATATGTATATGTATGTATAGTAGTTACTCTAGCTCAACATGCCTCTCATTATGATCGGGGTATTTTAACATTTCAAAATTTGAAACTTTAAATTTCTAACTTATCACAGATGTTGAAATGGACTTAGGAGGCAGCCCACCTGTGTTAGGGTCATCATGCACCATGGGGGGTCTTCTACGTGGAAAGGCATTTGGAAATGTCTTGAACCATGCTGATTTTCCGAAAGTTCACTCTGGCGACAATTTATTTGCAGGCTCTGCTCTAGTTGATTATAAAGTTTTTGCTTACCTGGTATATGATGACCCAGTCAAATTGAGTGTCATCCCTGATTCTTCACTGCCTGCCAACACTGTATTTCGTGTCTCTACTGTTCCGCCTCTCGAATCTGCTGTTGTTTTAAAGAAAGTCGCTACTAGGCTTGATAGTGTCACAGGTATGTAAAGTCAAATATCCAATATATTGAGTTTACTAATTACTTCTGAAGCTGCTCATGTTTTTGCCCAATCAAACTTGTCTGGATCTTGGCAATGGAACTTACTGGGTTGATATGAAAACATTCTGACAGAGAATGAAAGTCTTGAATCTAATAAAGATAATGAATGTCATATTTTATTTGTAAGTTTTATTATTATTATTTATTGGCTTTATTTCTCATTTTATGGTTAAAGTGCCTTCCTAACAGGTCTTCATTTTCTACTTGCTCTTCTTACCCCCCTTCAACTCACGTTTCTGGGCCCATGTCTCATTATGCTTTATCTGAGTCCCGTTCTGCATTATCTGATTCCCATTCTCGTCCTGAGACTCCCATGGACATTTCTGTGCCCTTGGGCTCCAAACGCACTGTTGATGAGAGTTTGCTTCATAAACTCAAAGCAGCTGGCTTAACAATCAATGATTCTCTTTGCTATAATACAAACCCAACTTTGCAGGTTATGTATCAACACTATGCACACATCAATGAGATTCAGGCAAAAATCTCTGATATGGTTGCTGAACACAAATGGCCAGCAGAGCTTGGAAAGTACCCAAACAAGACTGAGCTTATTGGGCTTTTTGTAGCCAAAACAACCTGGCATAACTCTTATGCCAAGGCCTTTCCAATGGCAGAGGGTTATGAAGATATGCTGGCCTGGTTGGAGGGTGATTCTGATAGGAAATCAGATGTTGACCTTTGGGGCACCACAAAATCCAGATACACTATTGTAGACTTGGGAGAATGGTTGAAGAAGCAGAAAGGCAAGAAGGCAGTCAAGCCTGTTATGAGATCTGCTGTAAAATCTACAAAGGGTGCAAAGGAGAAGGAAAAGAAGCAAGGGTCAGCATCAGGGTCAGGTATTGGGAAAGGAAATCAGAAAGCAGTAGAGTCAGAGCAGGCTGATAGCAAGAAAAAGAGTCACAAGAAGAAGAAGGTTGCTGCTAGTGGGTAGGTAGATTTTGTACTTGTTTGGATTTTTTTTTGTACTTGTATCAATGTGTTTATCAGTGTTCTGTTTTTTTTCTTCAGTGATCAACTACTCCAGATGCTTCCAACTTACTGGGTGACTGTTGCAATTTTACACTTGTTCACAATTCTACAAATGCTTGGTCCCTTGATGGTTGTGATGTTTTTGTGTCCTGGTGCCAATGCTATGCCAAGTGAACAAGCATTTCCAGATATTTCATTTAAAGTGTTCAATGATTTTATTGCACAAAATTTCAGCTCAAAAATAACAATTGCAACTGTGTTAATGCTGTTGTCTACTATGTTGGAAAATACAGATTTATTAAATTTGCATCGACGCCAGCAAAATCCCCAACTTCCAGATGAAAATTGGGTTAATCTGAGCTCATGGATAAAATCACTGGCTCGTGAAGTTGAAAAGCAGACTCCAAAACCAAAACTCAAAACTCTGTTTAAACAGTCAGAGAATTTGAAGTTAATGCCTGAAAATCAAATTACAGTCAACATTGGAACAAAGCTTAACAACTTTGCTGATTTATTGGGTCTCAATTCCTTTGGGAGTGATGAAAGCTAATTCAAAAACTTCAGCCAATTTCAAAGAAGGAAATTCAGGCAATCATGATAATTTGCCCACCATCAAATGTTTGTTCAGATATTAAATGTCAAGGCCGTGCCATTTTGCAACACTCAGATCCTAATGACCTTGCCACAACAACTCTTATTAAAAGTTCTGAAATCTTTAAAGATGTTGTTGTTCTGAGTGGAAAATGTTCTAATTGCAAAACTCACTATTTTGCTGATCATGAAAACTATCCTCAAGTTGGAGGTCATCGGAGACAAGTGTACCTCAACAATGCTAAATATTTAAAACTTGGAAAATCTCTATATGTTGACTGGTGTTTTTCAAATGCTGTTGTTAATGGAACATACAGCTTTCATGCATCAGTTTCTGCTTATGCTGAATTTTGGACCAACAGCTATGGAAAGCAAGGGTCACTCAAAATTGAAAGGTGTCAAATCTGGCACGCATTTCTTCATGAAACTGTTCGTACCATTGCTCAAGCATCAGAAGTCATGTTTGAAACAAATGATAATCCATCAATTGATGATCTCACTCATGATGCATTTGCTATTCTTGGTGAAGGTGGTGCTATGAGGCTGTCTGACAAACACACCTGCTCTGAGTGTACTCAAGAACGCAAGGCAGTTGCAGATTTTCTACCTGCTGCCAATGATGCAGCAGCTGTTCTTGGTGTTGATGAAAATCAAGCTGTACCTCAATTGGATCCTGCAGCTGCTGAAGAACTGCAAAATTTAGCAGAATCAGATGACCCAATGGATGTTGATACTGGAAACCAACCAGCCATGGTGAACATGGTCATAATAGATGGCATTGTTATGGGACCAACTCATTGTGCATTTGATAATTGTATGAAACCCCTTACAAATTCTCATGGAAAGGGAGAATCATTTTGTCAGACCCATGAAAGAGAATTTCGTAATCGTTGTCGTGTTAAGGATTGTCAAAATAACAAGATTGAAGGAACTCAAGCTTGTCATGAACATCACAATGACTGGCATCGATATAGACAGTCTTGATCAAAGTCAAACTTGGCTGGGGTACGACAAATGCTAAATCAACCAAATGAAAATCTTGCCTGGAATCCAGAAGTTCCCAGAAATGTTCAACCTCATGATGAGGAAGCTCCTGAAGTAGAAAATAAAAACTATTTCAGTCCAAAGCGCTATTCTCCAACCACCATCATCACCGACGCCTACACACCACATCGCCAACGTCCACCACCACGCACA